TGTGTTCATGGATATACTGTACAATACAAAGAATGTTGTGCCTTTATAGTTGATCTAATGATAGTATTAGCACAACATGGGTGTTGGGAACAATGTCTCTGTGGTTTGAAATAAAACAATGTATCAACGGTATACTGTACAGTGGAAACATATGACTATGCTTTGTTTCATTTGAATCTTATTTATACCCCACCTTTCTTCCAAAGAGTACCCAAGGCAGCTTGTTGTCTTAGATTATTATCTGTCTCATTGTTGCTAGGATGGCAGTCACATTAGCCACTTTTCCCTCATGAAACTAGGTATGTGAGACCAGGAGGTCTGGGTCTGTGAGCAGCAGCTGTCAAGAAAAGGTGAAAACAGTGACAAAGAGACATGATAAAGCAGACACTTAAATGCAGACCTATTGTCTGCTGGCTGGTCGTCAGAATCTGTAGAGAAGCAGTAAAAATAGCAAACTGTAATTTGGCACCTTCAAGCCTAACACAGTCATTATCACATGATCTTCATGGTCACACAGAGAGTCGCTAACATTTCCTGGCCATTGTACTGGCATATCTCTAATGAGAGTGAATCCCATGTGCTTCATATTTCTTCCTCCTTTGCTACTGCCTTGCCTTGTGATGCGTAGTGATTCTGAACAAGTGGTGTATTGTTCAGAAGGCATGCAGGACTCCGGTGGCAATAATGAGAATTGCTGGATGTCTATGCTGGAAGCAGCAGCAAAGGACACCAAGGAACTTCTCATCAGTCCTCAACAGCAAAGTCCTGGCCAGTATTTCAAGATTGGGCAACTGTGCCCATCCAGCAGTGTTTTTGTCTACAACTCCCAGTACCTCAGGCAGCATAGCTAGTTAAGAGGGATCATAAGAGTTACAGACTGAAAACATCTGGAGGACTGCTGTTGCCCACCCCTGCATGCATGCCACTTTTATCAACCAATACAACCTCTTTAATGGTAAAGCACTTGTCTTTCTTCCTTGTTTTCCCCTTGAGAGCACTAAATTTGGCAGGAGTGTGTGTTCAAGGGATGTCAGTCCCTATCCCCTGGAAGTTGTCCAACTCTGCTTTGACCTTGAATTCAGCCACTTCAGAATAAAGTTGTTGTTTTTTTAAAAAATTGAACATTTGCCAAGCAGCCATACTGGCTAAAATGTCATAAAACATTGCAGCATGCCAGGAACATCCAGGCACAATAGTGCTCTCTGATCAAGGACGTATGAGATGCAGAGACATCAATGCAGGAGCCCTGTGCAGGAAGGAGGATCTCGGAGCAAGGCTAGAACAATCAGGAGTGGTTCGCAATGACCCCTTTGATAGAAACCACTGAAGTCAAAACCAGCTAGTTAACTTTAAAAAGAATTATATCTAGATTATGTGTTACTGCGCTATCCCAAGACAATCAGTTTTTAATTGGTATGTCAGCGTTAATAATGGACTTACCTATCTCGTCATGCACAATGTTTGTGAAATGAAACTAATCACCTGCTTGCTTGTAAAGCCACCTCCTCCTGCTTTGTCAGCAGTGGTGATAAAACTTGCTGAAGGCAGGAACAGGAGCAGATAAGAGAGCCGGCAAGTCCTGTGTTTTCGAGGGCCCATCCTTGCTGGGGGACACAGAATTCTTCACTGCTGTAAGTAAGCAAGGAGTGATCCAAGAGGAAAAGAACCAGCAGAAAACCAAGTGCAAGTACCAGACAAAGACGCTGTTCTTGATTTCCGCAGTTGATGGGAGGGTTAAAAATAGCTGCATCATTTAAAAAGAGCAAAAAACATCTGAGATATTCTCCTACTGAAATTGCGCTCACTGTAGATTTGTAAAAAGTGGTTGATAACAAGGATTGAAATCCTGTGCATGCTTACTTGTCAATGCATAACAGTGAACTCAGTGTTGGTGAGTCAACTATGTACAGAATTATGTATCCCATAAATTTATAGCCCTGTTTTATATGTATCTCCTCAAAAGAGGACCTCATAGGCAGAGTGAAGCTTATTCCAAGTTCTTGGAAGGATGCCATGAGAGAAGGAGCCTGCAGCTGAAGGCATGTCTTGCTACAGTGGCTCCTTCCTTTCTAGAGGTGGTCACCAGCTTTAGCTAGTTCATTGCTTGTGACCCTATTTGGAACAGGAGACAGTTTCCTTTGCACAAATCTTTCCTGCTTACATACAGACTAGATTATAGCAATTTTCTGTGCTTCGGGCTGCCTTCAAATACTGTTAATGAAGTTGTTGTGGGTTTTTCGGGCTCTTTGGCCGTGTTCTGAAGGTTGTTCCTAATCTCTCCCACTTATCACAACAATACATTCACAACAAAAACACGCTGATCATCCTATCTCCTGAAAAGGACAAAAGTGTTTCCACAGCTATAAATACTCAACTATCCAACAAACAGCAACAGAGCATGGACTGAGTTCCTACCTCAGTCCTCTGAAGATGCCGGCCACAGAGACTGGCAAAACGTCAGGAGGAACAACTTTCAGAACACGTCCAAAGAGCTCGAAAAACCCACAACAACCATCAGATCCCGTCTGTGAAAGCCTCCAAGAATACACGGTTAAGGAACTTCAGACGCAACAGAATGCAGCCTCCAGCTGGGGGGGGGGCAGGCATTATTTCCCTATTTTACTAAAACTGTGGGTCAGCTGCATTGGTTGCCTCTTTGTTGCTGGGCTTAATCAAAAGTATCCCTTT